ATAGAATTGGTCCAAATTTCCCACACAGAACCACCATTCCTTGAAGGGATTCACTGGTGCAAGCCTCCCTCTAGCCTCACATGCTCTCCCTCATTCACACATGTGCACTGCTCTCCCCTCCTTGCTTGGAGCCTCAGAAACAGCCCTCCCCTTGGCTGAGAATAGGGCTTTTGGTGAGAGGATTTGCCATCTGTTTCCAAAAAGGAAGAGAAGGACAGGCTGAGACATCATCAGCCTTCTTCTCCGCCAAAGGGGCTCCTAAGACCATCAGAAATATGTTTTCTGATGGTCTTTGACTGTCCCCTGAAACTCTCTCATGATCCCCCCCCCCCTGGGGTCCCGAGCCCCAGTTGAGAAACACTGCCCTAAGGTGACCTTATTATAGGGTTTTATTGACAATACAAGGAGCCCCCGGTGGCACAGTGGGTTAAACCCCTGTGCCGGCAGGACTGAAGACCAACAGGTTGCAGGTGTAAATCCGGGAAGAGCATGGATGAGCTCCCCCTGTCAGCTCCAGCTCCTCCTGCAGGGACATGAGAGAAACCTCCCACAAGGATGGTAAAACATCAAAACATCCAGGCGTCCCCTGGGCAACATCCTTGCAGACAGCCAATTCTCTCACACCAGAAGCAACTTGCAGTTTCTGACACGACAAAAAAAAAATGACAATACACTGGATGGCCATCTGTTGGGAGTGCTTTGACTATATTTCCGCCTGGCAGGGAGTTGGATTGCATGGCCCTTGTAGTCTTTTTCAACACTGTGATTGTAAGATTTGTTCAGAGGAGGATTTCTTTTGCCTTTTACTAAGGCTGAGATAGTGTGACTTGCCTAAGGTCACTCAGCAGGTTTCCATGTGCAAGTGGGATTCGAACTCTAGCTTCCAGCGGCATAGTTACTTAAGGCACTACATTAGTTACTTATGTTGGAAGTACTTTTGTTAAAATACAGAAAATTCATGTCATATCTGCAAGAGTCATATAAGGAATTGTGTCATGCATGGGTTTATTTTTTTTCCTAGTGGAGTCATGTCTACTACACACTAAATAACGTCCATGTTCCCTGGACCATTTCCCTTCCTTCGCAGGTGGTATTGTTCAAGACTGCTGTTTGCTCTTTTCTTGTCATTTATTTTTGGGAGAAGACAGATTATCTGCAGATATTCATTAACCAGAACCCTTTCTCCGTACATCATTTACCCATTTGCTACGCTGCTGTTAACACACCTCTCCTTATACTTACAACTAATAGGCATGTAGTCCTTTTGAACAGATTTCTTTGGAAGGGAAAGAAGATCAGCACTGGAAAAGGGGGAAAATACAGAAAAACAACCTAGAACGATGTTGAATCATATAGCTGCATGAGAATGGTGATGATCCATCTTCCAAAGCAATAGTGGGAGAGGAGGAGGGGGAGAAAGTCTGGCAGATGTGCGTGGTCAAAATTTGAATCAGAGTTGTACCATGTGATTGTAGAAAATGTATCCTACTAAGCAATACCCAAACTCTGTGAATATGGAGAAAATCACAAATATTCCATGCAGAGGGGTCCGGACATATTTTTTACCCTTGTCCATTTTTTGCTGTTTCATCAGTTTTTATTTATTTTTGCATATGCCTGACATCTAAATGCAGAAGCAGAAAAAAGATCAATTCAGCTCTTAAATCACAACCAACCAACCAGAATGCAAAATAATTCCTTTAAAAAGATTGAAATAAAACTTCCACAAGACATGAATTGTTTACACATTACCCATGACAGAGAGATGAACAAATCAGTTTCAAGTACCTACCTCTACACACACACACACACACACACACACACATTCATACCTACATAGACCATTATTCTGATCCATTTTGGTGCAGAGATTTTACAATTGAGGCAACCCTTGGCCTTAAGCACAAGTAAATCTCTAAACATATATATAAATACAAGTCTTTTATTCCCTTTTCTGCTGAATACAGAATGCAATGACTTTTCGATACATGTTGCCTGCTAATACTATATAAAAATATACATTTTAGGAAAAGGGGAGCCGCAAGAGGGCACCAAATCGGCTGGCTCCCTCCATACCACAACAGAGTCTCTTTCCCTTACAGACATGTATCAACACAGATACACACATTATATCCACACACCGAGTGCTTTCATTGAATGGAAACAACTCTACGTGGCGCCAACTGACAATCATAAACCCAATATTCCAACAAGGCAGTTGCTTAAGAGGCAGAAATCAAAGTGAAACAGGTGCAAAGAGTTTGGAGAAAGGAAAAGGATTTCCAAAACTGACCTTCATGGGGACCCGGTTGAAGTGAAGCTCTTACCTTGGAAAGCTGAAGGAGTGGCGAGCTTGCCACACACGCACACCCCTTTTAAACCTCACCATAGTTATTTTTCTAATCCTACATCAACATTTGGGGGGGGGAGGGGTGTCCCATTTCTAAATCTCTCTCAGTGATGTCAACTCTAACCCCCCTTCTTTGCTTGGAAACCTATCTCCTTGAACTCAAAAGAGAGGCGAAGAGAGCCGACTAGCTAAGATTTGGGGGCTTTTCACACCACCACATAACCCAGAATATTGAGGCAGGAAATCCCACAGTATCTTCTTTGAACTGGAATATATGGCAGTGTGGACTCAGATAACCCAGTTCAAAGCAGATATTGTGGGATTTTCTGCCTTGATATTCTGAGATATAGGTCTGTGTGGAAGGGCCTAATATCTGCTTTGAACTGGGATATATGGCAAGCAGATATTGTGGATGCAGTCGGACACCACTTTCAAGGCTGTGGAATTATGGGAGCTGCAGTTTTACAAGGTCTCTAGCCTTCTTTGTCACCTGGTGAGAGGTGCCCAACCAAACTACAACACACTTCACAACCCCTGAGAGTGCCTGCCATAGATGCAGGCGAAATGTCAGGAGAGAATGTTTCTGGAACATAGCATTGCAGCCCAGAAAACACACAACAACCCAGTGATTCTGGCCATGAAAGCCTTTGGGCCCTTCCATACAGACACAACCCTATATCCCAGAATATCAAAGACCCAGGGCCCTTCCACACAGCCCTATATCCTAGAATATCAAGGCAGAAAATATCTGAGTGTGGACTCCGGGCCCTTCCACACAGCCCTATATCTCAGAATATCAAGGCAGGAAATCCCACAATATCTGAGTGTGGACTCAGGCTCCTTCCAAAACAGCCCTATATCCCAGAATATCAAGGCAGAAAATATCTGAATGTGGACTCAGGGCCCTTCCACACAGCCCTATATCCCAGAATATCAAGGCAGAAAATCCCACAATATCTGCTTTGAACTGGGTTATTTGAGTCCACACTCAGACAATGTGGGATTTTCTGCTTTGATATTCTGGGATATAGGGTTGTGTCTGTGTGGAAGGGCCCAAAGGCTTTCATGGCCAGAATCAGTGGGTGGTTGTGTTTTTTCTGGGCTGCAATGCTAAGTTCAGAAGCATTCTCTCCTGACGTTTTGCCTGCATCTATGGCATTTATTTCCTAGTGTGGACTCAGGTTCAAAGCAAATATTGTGGGATTTTCTGCCTTGATATTCTGGGATATAGGGCTCTGTGGAAGGACCCTGAGTCCACACTCAGATATTGGGGAATTTCCTGCCTTGATATTCTGAGATATAGGGCTGTGTGGAAGGACCCTGAGGTTTTCATGGCCAGAATCACTGGGTGGTTGTGTTTTATTTCCGGGCTGCAATGCTATATCTCAGAAGCATTCTCTCCTGACGTTTCACCTACATCTATGGCATTTATTTCCTAGTGTGGACTCAGGTTCAAAGCAAATATTGTGGGATTTTCTGCCTTGATAATTTGGGATATAGGGCTGTGTGGAAGGACCCTGAGTCCACACTCAGATAATGTGGGATTTTCTGCCTTGATATTCTGGGATATAGGGCTGTGAGTGGAAGGACCCTGAGTCCACACTCAGATAATTGGGTGGTTGTGTCCCCCGGCTACAATGCTATGTTCCAGAAGCATTCTCTCCTGACGTTTCACCTGCATCTATGGCATTTATTTCCTAGTGTGGACTCAGGTTCAAAGCAAATATTGTGGGATTTTCTGCCTTGATAATTTGGGATATAGGCTGTGTGGAAGGACCCTGAGTCCACACTCAGATAATGTGGGATTTTCTGCCTTGATATTCTGGGATATAGGGCTGTGAGTGGAAGGACCCTGAGTCCACACTCAGATAATGTGGGATTTCCTGCCTTGATATTCTGGGATATAGGGCTGTGTCTGTGTGGAAGGGCCCAAAGGCTTTCATGGCCAGAATCACTGGGTAGTTGTGCTCGGCTACAATGCTATGTTCCAGAAGCATTCTCTCCTGACGTTTCGCCTGCATCTATGGCATTTATTTCCTAGTGTGGACTCAGGTTCAAAGCAAATATTGTGGGATTTTCTGCCTTGATAATTTGGGATATAGGGGCTGCCCCTCAGACAATACAAACTACAACACCCATGGTTCCACAGAATTGAGCCTAGGATGCTTTTGCGCCTCTCCAAGGAGGTCTGGGACCCCTGGCATGTTTACCTGGGGACAGGCCCTTATCCAGGATTTTGATTGGGGGGGGGGGGGTGAGTTTGATTCAAGGGGAGGGGGCTGAGGATCTACCCTAGCAAACCTTTTGCATCCTTATCCCAATACCCCCATGCATATGGGATATATTGAGCAGTCAGATCATGATATGAATAAACATAACAGTTGAAATAATGTACCAGTAAGGTACATCATTACTGGGAGGAGGGGGATGAAGCCCCTCAACCCCCCCCCTCCCCAAATACATGCCTGCCTGGGGAGGCACTGAGTCTAAGGATTGGGAGGAAGCAAGGAAGGAAGGGGAGAAAAAGAGGTGAGTTTGAGCTGATCCAACTTTCTCTCCTCCGCGCCGAGAGGCAAAGTTGGCCTCGGAGGCGCTTGGATCTCGCTTCGAAGGAAGGGAGAGGAAGGGGGGGGGGGTCGTGTAGACTCACCTTTCGTGGCCACTCGCCTCCCCCAGCCTCCTCCTCCTCCTCCTCCGCCGCGGGCGAGGAAATCCTCCGCCGTCCCCTTCCAAGCAACAGGCATTGCGGCTCCCGCCTTTCTCTGGCTTGCCTATCCCTCGAATCCGCAGCCTCGCTGGAGCCCAAGCGGGAGCTCTCGCCGACCTTTCGCCCGCGCCGCCATCACGCGTGAAGTTTGCCAGGTGATTCCCCACCAGCCTTCGGTCTGAGCCCCTTTTGATGCCGCCGGGGCGTCCGAGTGCTTCTGTCTTGCAGGAGCCAGTGAGTGAGTGAGTGAATGGCTCCGACTCGCAGGCACACACAAAAGAGGGCAGTCCCCGACCCAGAGGTGGGCTAGACGTACCAGTGGGTGGGTGGCTGTGATGCCCGGGTCTGTGTATGTATGTACATATATATATATACACGAACGTCTGCCCCCCTGCGTTGGGAGCGAGAGTGGATTCCCTCCTCCTCCCTCCTCCTCCTTCTAGAAGGGGATTGCGGGAAAGGGGATTCCGCCTGCCACGCGGGAATGACGCCTACAAGTCGCTTGACACATCCTTCCCCCTTTCGTGCTCATGGATCGCCCTCCAGCACCCCCAGGGCTGTTGGAAGTGGAGTCCCATAATCCCAAGCCTCTCCTCCCCAGGTGGGAGGAGAGGCTTGAAGATCACATCCTTGCAGAGACTGTGGGCAGTCTTGGATCTTCCTCCAGCACTACTCAGGGCTGTTGGAAGTGGAGCCCCATCGTTCCCAGACCCTTATGGGGGTTGTATTTCCTCAAACAGGTGGGAGGAGAGGCTTGAAGATCACATCCTTGCAGAGACTGTGGGCAGTCTTGGATCTTCCTCCAGCACTACTCAGGGCTGTTGGGAGTGGAGTCCCATAATCCCCAGTCACTGTATGGGGGTTGTATTTCCTCAAACAGCTGGGAGGAGAGGCTTGAAGATCACATGCTTGCAGGGACTGTGGGCAATCTTGGATCTTCCTCCAGCACCACTCAAGGCTGTTGGGAGTGGAATCCCATCATCCCCAATCCCTGTATGGAGATTGTATTTCCCCAAACAGCTGGGAAGAGAGGCTTGAAGATCACATGCTTGCAGAGACTGTGGGCAGTCTTGAATCTTCCTACCGCACTACTCAGGGCTGTTGGGAGTGGAGTCCCATCATCCTCAGTCCCTATATGGGGGTTGTATTTTCTCAAACAGCTGGGAGGAGAGGCTTGAAGATCACATGCTTGCAGAGACTGTGGGCACTCTTGGATCGGCCTCCAGCAACCAATCAGAACTGTTGGGAGTGGAGCCCCATCGTTCCCAGACCCTGTATGAGGGTTGTATTTCCTCAAACAGGTGGGAGGAGAGGCTTGAAGATCACATGCTTGCAGAGACTGTGGGCAATCTTGGATTGGCCTCCAGCACCACCCAGGGCTGTTGGGAGTGGAGTCCCATCACCCCCAGACTCTGTATAGGGGTTGTATTTCCCCAAGGAGCTGGGAGGAGAAGCTTGAAGATCATATACTTGCAGAGACTGTAGACAGTCTTGTTGGTTTAGAATAGGCATGGGCAAACTTCGGCCCTCTGTGTGTTTTGGACTTCAACTCCACAATTCCTAACAGTCATAGAATCTAGAGTTGGAAGAGACCTCATGGGCCATCCAGTCCAACCCCCTGCCAAGAAGCAGGAAAATCGCATTCAAAGCACCCCCAACAGATGGCCATCTGGCCTCTGCTTAAAAGCCTCCACAGAAGGAGCCTCCACCACCCTCCGGGGCAGAGAGTTCCACTGCTGAACAGCTCTCACAGTCAGGAAGTTTTTCCTAATGTTCAGGTGGAATCTCCTTTCCTGTAGTTTAAAACCATTGCTCCGCATCCTAGTCTCCAGGGCAGCAGAAAACAAGCTTGCTCCCTCCTCCCTATGGCTTCCCCTCACATATTTATTTCATGTCTTCTCTCAGCCTTTTCTTCTGCAGGCTAAACATGCTCAGCTCTTTAAGCCACTCCTCATAGGGCTTGTTCTCCAGACCCTTGACCATTTTAGTTGCCCTCCTCTGGACACATCCCAGCTTGTCAACATCACTCTTCAATTGTGGTACCCAGAATTGGACACAGTATTCCAGATGTGGTCTGACCAAGGCAGAACAGAGGGTAGCATGACTTCCCTGAATCTAGACACTATCCTCCTATTTATGCAGGCCGAAATCCGATTGGCTTTTTTTGGCGCAGCATGACATTGTTGGCTCATGTTTAACTTGTTGTCCATGAGGACTCAGAGATCTTTTTCACATGTGCTGCTGTTGAGCCAGGTGTCCCCCATTCTGTAGGCAATGTATTGTCAAAGACATCACTGGGTTGTTGTGAGTTTTCCAGGCTTTGTATGGCCATTTTCCAGACCATTAAATGCTAATCAAAGTGACGAATTGAAATATTCACACATACCTCAAACAGACAAGAGTTCTTTCTCCCACCCTGGACATTGCACAGCTATATAAACCCAATTTTTGTAGTTTCCGACAGACCGCCCAACTTCTGAGGATGTCTGCCACAGATGCAGGTGAAACGTCAGGAGAGAATGCTCTGGAACATGGCCATATAGCCCAGAAAACCCACCACAACCAGTCAGTAGGCACATTTTAAAATATGTGGCGGACTTGTAAAATATCAAAATAAAAAAAAAATACTGGAAGGAAATTCACGAAAAAATTCAGAAAATACTTCAAATAAAGATACAACTGAAACCAGAATACTTCCTATTAGGCATAATAGACATGTATTTGGAAAGGAATAAAGATATACTGCCCTCCCCCCAGTGGTGCAGCAGGTTAAACTGCTGAGCTGCTGAACTTGCTTACTGAAAGGTTGGTGGGATGAGCTCTTGTTGTTAGCCCCAGCTTCTGCCAATCTAGCAGTTAAAAAACATGCAAATGTGAATAGATCAATAGGTATTGCTCCGGTGGGAAGGTAACACTGCTCCATGCAGTCATGCTGGCCAAATTACATTGGAGGTGTTTGTGGACAGTGCTGGCTCTTCAGCTTAGAAATGGAGATGAGCACTAACCCCCAGAGTCGGACAAGACTGGACTTAATGTCAGGAATAACCTTTACCTTAAAGATATACTCTTTATTTATTTTGTAATGGCAGCCAGAATTATTTATGCGTGAAACTGGAGAACGAAAAAATCACCATTAATAGACCACTGGCTAGTGAAAATGGCAGAAATAATGAATATGGATAAATTAATTCAGCTACTTGCTACCACCAGAGTAGCACCAAAAAAGCAAAAGATTGGACATTATTTAAAGATTATATGAAACAAGAGAATATGAAAATGATAATATAGACAATAAAAGACAATGAGAAACATGATTTCCACTTAGACCAGTGCTTCTTAATCTGTGGGCCGCAGTTCACCAATAGGCCGCAAGGATGAAAATTTGCTCCTTCCTCTTTATTTGTTTATTTTATCCATTATATTTTTGCTCCTTTCGTGCCGCCTGCCACTCTTTTCCTGTCACTGACCAGCCTTGACCCCTTGGATAGACCACATCAGCTCTAGATTATAAAATATGATTTTCTGTGGGTGAGCAGATGACGACTTCTAGATGGCATGTGTTCTGTATCAGAAACTAGAGCTGATGTGGTCTATCGAGTGCAGTTTTCTGAATCGGCACCCCAAATAACCAAACCAAATCTAAAGTTGATCAAAAACTGCTTCATAACCCTTTTGGTACTGACGTTGGAGAGTGGTCCCTGGTCAGAGTAGTCCCTGGTCAAGTGGTCCCTGGTCAAAAAAAATTGGGAACCACTGACTTAGATGAAAGACGAAGAGGGAGAGCAGTGAAAGAAGAAGAAAAAAACCTCTTTTTTATATGAGAAAGATTGGAGGTCAACAAAAATCCATTTCCCCCTCTTTCCTCCCACCCCTTTCCCCCCTATATCTCTAGGAAGCAGTAATTAAGCTTTAAATTTCCCTATTTATATTTTATATTTTCTGCTCTATTTCATCTTATTATATGCAACCTCTTTAGAACCATTAGGGTTACCTGTCTTAACCCATAACTCCTTTTCCAGTACCCAATTTTATAATATATTAAATATGTTTATCAATAAAAAGTATTTATTAAAAAGGAATTATGGGAGTTGAAGTCCAAAACACCTGGAAGGCCAAAGTTTGCCCATGGCTAGTTTAGAAAAATCCCTCTCTTCCTCCAAAATACATTCAACGCAAACTCCATAAAAGCACAAGTCAGCAAGCGTTGGAATTTCACCAGTCCCTTCTTCAAGCAGGAGGCAAATTGTGCGTCTCTTTTTTCTCATATACATAGTAGCAGCAGGAGAGGGAGAGATTGATATTGCGGGCATGCAATCTCTAAGAAAATGAGCATGGCACAGGAGATATTGTGCAGATTCATTTGGGACACAAGTGGGAAAACACTTCTTATTCCCCACTCCTTTCCTGGTTTGAAAGGAGAGCACAAAGGCCACATGAGCGTGATCCACAGCCTTTCTCCTGCCACGCTTTATTATTTTTATGGGTGGGAGTTTTGTTCTTCACACAACTGCACTGTGTTTGTGGATCATTGAAAAATGAGTATACAAAATGTGGGTGTGAACTCAGCTGGAGCCTTTTAATGCCCTGAGTGGGTGGGTGTGTGTCATGCTTCTGCCAGAGAACAGAGCAATCATCATCATCATCATCATCATCCTGACCTCACGATCGTGTTAAAAAGCAAACTATGGATTGTCGATGTTGCAATCCCAGGTGACAGTAGGATTGAAGAGAAACAACTGGAAAAGCTGACATGATATGAGGATTTAAAGATCGAACTGCAAAGACTCTGGGCACAAGCCAGTAAAGATGGTCCCAGTGGTGATCGGCACACTGGGTGCAGTGCCTAAAGACCTTGGCCTGCACTTAAACACAATTGGCACTGACAAAACTACTATCTGCCAGCTGCAGAAGGCCACCCTATTGGGATCTGCATGCATTATTCACCAATACATCACACAGTCATAGACACTTGGGAAGTGTCCGACATGTGATCCAGTACAACGGCCAGCAGAGTGATCTTGTCTGCTGTGGACTCATCTTGTTGTGTTTCTAATGATGATGATGATGATGATGATGACGACCTGAATGAAGAATCCAGCTTCCTGAGGATTTCTGTTTCTTTTTTTTCTTTTTTTGGTTCTTGCATTTTAAATCAGTTTTCTAGCTGTTATGGCTACAAAGCTATTCTGTGGAGTGTGAAGAGAATGCCCAATGTAATATCAGAAACAAGAGGGAGATGGAAATAGGTACCAATAGTTGGTGATAGGGATCTATGTGGTTCCTTTTTGTGGCTAATAGTTCAACTAAGATGAATTACACAAAATGTGTGTGTGTGTGTGTTTGTGTGGTGGGGGGAGTATTCAAAACTTCCCAATTTATAGGATTTGACTTGCTTTGGACTCAGAAGAGCAATGAAAATCAAGTGTATAGAAAAAGCATTTCTATTGCGGTGAAATCA